AGAGGAGAATGGAGAAGAAGGGATTGCGGTGAGGTCATCCCCCCTGGGGGGTGATTTCTCACTTTCTTTCTGTCTCTGTCTGTCTGGTGAGCGCATGTGCCCTATAGCAAAAACCTCTCCAAAAAAAAAAAAATCACTTAGGCTTGATTTTTCCCTTGATTTAATCACTAGCTATGACTCGCTTGCTTATGCACTCGGTTGTGGTCACTGAACAAATGCTGACTGAACACCGTTTATGTGACAAACACTGTCTATGGCTGTTGGTATGATTAGTAGCCAAACAGTGCCATTCTGGAGCTTACATTCTCAGAGACCCAGGCCTAAAATGTTTGTAAATAAAGTCATTTTGACACACAGTGTTCTGACTTCTCTTTTTTCTTAGAAGCAAGTCTAACAATCAAGGAAAGAGGATTGTATGAGAGTAGAAATACCAGGAAGTGAGGGTCTTTGGGAGACATATACATTTTTTTCTTTTAAAAAATTTATTAAATATTCATTATTTATTTATGTACATATTTATTCTAGTCAAATTCTCATTGTGTTGTGATTTTCCCAGTTGAGACTACAGGCTCAAGCCATCACACCTGGCTCTTTTATAGACAGGATCTCACTATGTTGCCCACACCAGTGTCGAGCTTAATTCTCCTGCCTCAGCCTCCCAAGTTTCTGGGATTGTTGGTATGTGCTATAGTGCCTTTAGGTCAGCTTGGAAATTGAACCTTGGCCTCTCAAGTGGGCCCAGCATACAGGGCACAGCATCTTAGCAAAACTTACCACTAGAGCTGGGCCTAAAAGACTTTGTATCAGAGGTACCCTAAGATCTCTCAGGGGCCCAAAATATCCCTCTCCTGCACAAGCATACTTACCATGCACCTAGTGAAACCTACAAGCCATCCCCTCCCTTCACAAGATGATTTTCTGGGTGTTATAGCTTAAATTTCTACTAAGAAACATCCTAATGAAGACTCCTTGCCGTGGGTTAATGTCCTCTCTATAAGGATTTTCCACCTAAAACCTTTCCATTAGACAACTCCTAGGCAGCATTTCTGTTTTCTAAACCGCATGTATATCCTATGCTAGCCATTGCGGTACCCAACAGTTCTGTGTAGGCTCCAGTCAGTTTCTAGAAGGTAGAGTCTTGCTTCAGGTTAGTATTGCACAGCTCTCACCTCTGGCAGGCATGGCATTTCTTTATTGTTAATGTTGCACTGAGTCCTTTAGAAACATATTTTGTCCCCAAGAATATACATCCTGAAAGGAGGAGGCATTAATACCAAGTTAGAAAAAATGTTTACCAAAAAAGACTGGAAGTGAAAGGGTAAGTGTATTTTGCTTTGTCCCTTTCTCTTTCCCAGGAAGATTTCAAGAATCATTTCTTGAAGTACCTCAAATGATTCCACAGTACTGAGCAACTAACTGGTCACCCACAGCGATATTCGTACATGAGCTTTCTCTCCTGTACTGCTTCATTCTGGTTCCCTGGGACCACAGTCCCAAATAAACCACTTACACATGGCTTTGTTCCTAGATCATGCTATTGTAGAATCTAGATGAAGACAATTGTCAAGCTTTAATGACTAAAAAAAGAACTAAATCAATAAATTACTATTGATAAGATTTTGCATTATATATAAGATGTTTTGGCTGAAATCAGCTTGGTTAAGATGGTTATTTTGTATTATTTTTTTTTCCCAGAAAGAATAGTTTTCTGCTTGTGTTTGAAAATAAAAATAAGTTTCCTTTTTGTACAATGACAAGGGACTTTCTGCGAATAACACCATTAAATTTCTGGCCAATCACTCTGGTGTAGGAAGAGATCCAAGGTTCTACCATTTTATTTTGTTGGCTTGTTGTTTCAGTAGGTAACATGATATGTATGTCACGGTATGGCAGGTGTATTTGGGGCCCCAATGAGACCTACTCAGTTCTTCTGGTAGGAAGCATCCTAAAATGATTTCCATTACTGTTCACCTCCTGATATTGATCTTCTTCTATAGTGTCCTGCCCCTGTGTGTGGTGGAGACCTAGTGACTTGCTTCTAATGCAAAACCGATGGTGCTTTATTTCTGAGAATGGGTTATAAAAGGCCAGAGCTCCTGTTTTGCTGATACACTTTGTTCCCTTCTTACCTTGCTTGGTTTAATAAGGCAAACTGCCATATTAGATCATATAGCATATCATATGGCGAGGAACTGAGGGAGGTCTATAGCCAACACTTGGTGAGAAACCAAGACCCTTAGTCCAACAACCATGAGGAATTGAATTTTTCAGACAATCATGTGAGTGAGTTTGGAAGTAGATCCGTCCCCAATGAGCCTGGAGATGATCATGGGACTGGCTGACACCTGGATTACATCTGTGGGGTACAGTAGAAAATCCAGCTAGAAAACCAATCCCCTATTCCCGAACCACAGATATATAAATAGTTTTGGTGTAATTCATTATACAGGAATAGATTATGAATACAGTCCCTCTCCAATTACAGGTATTAGGAAGCTGTCTCTCTTTTTTGAGAGCCATTGAAATAGCATCCTCTGGTCACAATACCCAGGAATTGTCTGTAATCTATGATCTCTTTTGAATGCAGGCAGCCATTTTCCACTCCTGGATCACTAAGCAACATTCAACCTGTCAGAAACTAGGGCACACAAATTCTATTATAGCCACTATATTTAACACGGGAGCCTGGATAATAAGGTCAGAGATGTATTTTTCAGCCTTAGCCTGGCATCACATCTCTTCTGGACTAAGGGTACTTTCTTTGGTTCTGATTGAAAATAGCAGTTATTTTTTCTTTTCCCTGATCAGTTATCTTTACTGAAAATGTACATTACTGTCGCTCCTGACAAGGAGGACTTGTATTAGACACCGTGGGCTTGCACCTGAATACCCAAGTGATGCATTACATGAATATAATTTACATAATGAGCCAGGCAAAAAGCGTGTGTTAGAGTGTACATGCTTGTCAACATTTAAGAATGTTGCAATCTTGACAGAGAGCTGCCTCTTAGAGTACAGGAAAGAATGGTATTTACCTCTCCCCGTCTTGAAACTCTGGTACAATGCCCAAACTATTACTCAGGAAGGAAATTCATATAGTTCACGATGAAAAATAAACCTGTTGTATATTCTAATTTAAAAACCCAGCACATTGAACTTACCTGGCTGCTTCGGAGCAGGTTTTTTTATTTTTTTCTTTTTGTCTTCAATGAATATGGAAAATTAAATTCAAGCACCGAGTAAATTTTATGGCAAAGTCACAATTTATAAGTGGGCATTAATTAATGTCAGATAAAAATGAGATTCTGAAGGAATTACATTTTTTCTTCTCATTAGTGGCTTGTTTATAATTATAAGCCTTTTCTAGAATGAATAATTAAGAAATTGTAATAAATAACTATGCTATAGAAAAGCCCCGGGATAATGAAAACAGTAGTGTCTGGCGTAAGTTTTAGTAAATAACTACTAGACCTGGGTCACATGCATTTCCTTTGGTTGCTTTCATAACCTAACAAAGATTGATTAGGTCCTAACAGTTGCTCTTGAATTTCATAATTAACTTTTTATTAGAGCTGAGCTTTCTAAGATCAGGTAAACTGAACTCTAGAGTTCCAGGCAGCTTTCAGTTTAATTTTGTATAAACTTTCTTTTTTAAAGAGAGATTTTTGGTACATATAGGGCACGTGAGCACGCCAGAGAAAGAGACAGAAAGCGAGAAGTCACCCCCAATGGGGGATGGCCACATCACAATCTCTTTTCCATTCTCTTCTTGGATCTTGGGAATGCATGCACACACACCCGGAGTGAGTTTCAAGCCACTGCGTTTGGGACTCAAATCAGGGTCGACTACATAGGAGTCCAGTGACATAACTATTACACGCCATCTGCTGGTCCCTTGAATAACCTTTCTAATGTTCTTAACACATTGTCTATATCAGCTATGAAGTGAAATATTTTCTAGTTTGCTTTTTCCTTTATAATTTGAGGTTTAGAGCTACATTATACCAAAATGTGTCTACTCAATAAAAGGAAAAGAAACATTAAATGACTACTTAGTTCCTCAGAAACACTAGTCAACTTCATCCCTTAAAATACATCGTTTTATGAATTATGCCATTTTAATAGACAATACAATTTATAAGATAAACTTACTCTTTAAATTCTTATTTCTGGTCTTCTTTTTGAAATAAACAGTCATTTATTTAATTCCATTTGTTATTATTATTACTTTTTAATTTAACTAGAGAGATAGAGAAAGGGAAAGCAAGAAAGCAAGTCGCCAGTTCCAGGACTCGAACCGTGGTTAACCATATGGAAGTCTGACACCTTAACCACCACACGACCTACTGGCCCTTTATTTCTGGTCTTAAATGATTTTAGAGGAATCGTCTGATGCCTGGAATCCCTACTGTTACTTTGATCCAGTCACAAACTATTAGTAAGTGCTGTGTATTGTACCAGGCTAAAGGGTAACCCAGTAATACCTGACTGAATCCAGTATCTGAAATAAGAAGGCCAGAGGAATTCATGCAGAATGAGAGATTCCAATATCCATGGCATGTATTTGCCCTATAACCTACAGACCTTGGCCAGTTTCATATGGTGGAAAACCATGGGCCACACGTAGACCTGAAAGGAATCTATCGGTCTTGCTCAGTTGTTAGCCAGCTAGTGATTACTTTACACACTGATGGTTGAAATGCCAGAAGAATCAAAATGCCTCTCTGTTTGGAATAAAAGGTGGTTGTACTCTCTGGAGGATGTGACTCTTACCCATGGGGACATGAAGCAAGTGGACAACCAACAAAATTGATAAATTGGGCAAACTCCAGCTTCTTCTCTTCGCCTTCATTTCCATCTCTTCCCAACTCAGGTCTTTGCATTTGAAGCTGCTTTTGCTTAAAATGTTTTTCAGATGACTAGCCTCATCCTCTGTGAGTGTCCATACAAACTTTTCAGTTACTCTTGGTATTTGAGTGGACATGTTTCTTTTGTTTCAGATCCCAAATCCATCATGTACTAGTTGTGTTAACTTAGACAACTTACAAAGCCTCTCTGTATACTGGTAAGTATGGGTGGATATATTCATCTTTACCCTTCATTATTCTCAAAAAAAAAAAAAAAAAAAGAAAGGCAACCAAGTCTATTTATAGTATTGTGATGTTTTCCATTTGTAGTAACTTGACATTTCACTTTTTCTTCTGAAATCATCTTAATTTGATTCTAGTTCCAAAGTAACTCCTGTGGGTTTCCTTTTCTTTCTTCATCGTGTCTTATTATCAGGCCACAGTCATGTGTACTTGTTGCTCCTCTTCATAAGCTGATGATAAGAATTTGCACGTTACCAAAGACTGCATCTCTATGGGCTAAATTAAGTGAGCATTTGAAACCAAAGCATAGACAATCTGGGCAAATAATTATGAGATTAATTTAATGAAAATAAAGGGAGATAGTGGTGTGCAAATTTGGCCCATATTTTTTTAGACTAGATGGTTAGTATTGTTTATTGTGCAAAAATTGCTCACCATTTTATTTTAGCTCTATAATTACCCAGGAATTGGGGCCATTTGGTGAATTTTATTTGAAAATCTGGTGTGTAACTATTGATAGGCATGGTAAGTTACAAATGGTTTTTCAGTGGAAAAAGGATTGGTCAGTTATTGGTTGGTGACATTCATTTTTGGATTTCTGGTTGACAATGTTGAAGAAATTATGTTGTTAGTTGTGACCTGATCATGTGAACAAAAGAAGTTTTAAAATTGTATGTTCTTTTCTATGAGTTTTTGCATCCAAACAGGCTGCTAGAAACAGTTATGATTGCTTCATTATACGACTGTTAAAATCTTTTATTGTTTGTTTTGTTTTGTTTTTGCTGATTTGGGATGAAATTACTTAGCACCTTTTGATACAAGATGGGAAAAGTGGGGTGTACTACATTCTGTGTCTGTGCAGCTTGGTAGATTCCTAAGAGAGGAACTAGCTAATAATTAAATATCTGCAATGTGGAAAAATAATTAGCTGATTAAATTTGTAACATAATACAAGGGGGACTCTGACAGTGAATTACTTAATTTAACACTCTTGAGATGTTTGCTTTAGAAGAAAAAGTTTAGTGAGAAATGAGATATAATGGTGTTGAGATGGAGAAAGAGTACTCTTCAGTTGAAATAGAATAGAGGCGTAGCCTAAACAGAGCAGGTAAAACAGATGTTCTTTTACTTGAATTTCTTGGGCCATTTAATTCAGTTTGATCTACCAGCATTTTTTTTTTTATTTAGCAAGTACAATTAAAAAGTAATCAAATCAGTCAAGATGTAGTACCAAGAAGTGGAATCAGAAATGAACATTTTTTCTCTCCTCCTGTTGCCAAAAGTTATTTATTTCCAGTTAAGCCTATGTTGGTCATTCTGATCTTGGACTGATTATATGGGTAAAATGAGTACTAAACTCAATGGGCTTAAATACTTAAGAATATCATTTAAAATATTTTTCCTTTAAAAAAATCCTATTCAAGTATCTTTACAAAACGAATTTTGGAAGTAGAGGAAGATAAATTCAAATCCACCTAAAAAGTGAGCTGTGTTCACATACGTATGGTGGGGAGTGTGGAGTGGTAGAAGAAATATAACATGTTCAATTCAGTTATTTTTTGTATATATCTCCTGTCTTGTTATTTAATCAGGGCATTTATAGACAATTGATAGTCATGTACCATTTTCATGAATTTTGTCATTTTAGAGAATTTCTTCTACTATGCTTGCTTTACATTTGTTTAAAACAAGTCAATATTTTATGTCATCCCATTCCATGAAATAATTTCTGTAAGACTGCAGGTTTGAAGTGCTATGTATATTTCTTTTGCTAAACATTAAAATTATTGCAAAACTGTTAAAATTAAAAACAAACCTTTTAGTGTACCACTACATGTAAAGTGGGAAAATATAAGAGCTCTTCAAAAACTTTGTGGAAAAATTAAATGAAAGTATGAATTTATTTTGGTGCAAAAAACCATTTTGATATCCATGCATAATATTTTCATAATACACATTTTCCATAAAATTTTTGAAGATCCTTCATATTGACAGACTCAGAGTTTCCAGTCTGTCTTTGAAATATTAAAAAAATTATTTTGTCTTGGATGGTATACCTTTCTCTAAACTAAATGGCCCAGTCAATATAGAGTTCCAGGACAAAATGAACAAAATGAAAACCTCACGAAATAGAGCTAAGATATTTATGGATAATGAAAGAAACAATTATTTTAGAACTTTGCTTTTCTTGTCATTTTCTTTGGAACAAGAAATAAGGTTATACTACCTTATCTTGATCCTTATTAGATACAGAGAATAGTAACCACAACAGAAGGAGTATTATGACTTAGGTTTTTAAAATTATATTGCAGTGCTACAGTTTTACCTGATAACCTGCTTAGCTGCAATGATTTATTTTGTATAAACAGATTTCTCTTTTACCTTTGTCACATCTAAGAAATCCCCACCCCCTAGAATGAATGAACCTGTGACATAGTGACCTATTGAACACAGAGTCCCTTTAAAACTGTGCATTCCATTGCATGCCATCAGCCTTTCTTTAGGTTGCCATTCTCACTGGGGACTGTACATTAAGGCCACTGGAGGAGGTTTTAAAATACATCTGTGTCTGAATCCTAACCATAGAAATCCCAATTTAGTTGTTTTGGGTTCTAACCCAGGCAATGATATTTCTAACACCTCACAAAAGGTTCTTTTTGTGCAGCCAGATGGATTATCTGGTTGAGCACTTTCAAAGGGTATGGTAGCCTTGGCTGTGTTAAGTTCAGGTATAGAACTTATGTAGCAAAGAGATACTTCTAACCCCAAGTTCTTCCTATCACAACATTTCACTCTGTATGAAGAGGAGAGGAGACTGAAGAGCATTTCCTTTTAACAGACTTGGCTTCTCTTGGCAAGATGCCCCAGGAGAACTGGCTTTCCGGCATGAGCTCAATGGAACGCAATATGGACCTTGACATTAATCAGACTTTCTTTTCTTCTCTTCTGCAAAAGCACAGCACAGCCATAAGGTGAAGAGACAGGGCCATTTCATCCTGGCTGGATTCCTCTCTCTCTGCTGTTGGGGAACATGGAGCCTTGAACTCCCAACATTTATAATAACGTTTAACAACAAGCGAAGAGCCCTGGTCAGATTTCTGGAGAGAAAAGCAGTGGGAGGTTGGAAGTTACCATTTTATTCTTGCTTAGGAAATGAAGCTTTTTATTTTTTCTAGCAATGTTGTCTCTACTGAGTTTCCTATCAGGAAATATGAAGCTGGTGATAGCCTGTTGCTGAAATAAAGTTCAGATTTTTTTTTTCCCTTTCTTCCTCCTTCTTGTTTCCCTCCCTGAAACTTGGGTTCATGACAGCTTGTTGTTGGGCAGGGCATTAGCCTTTTGTAATTTATTGCTTTTAGATTAAATCTGGGGAAACTCAATATTGCAGTTGAATGATTAGAGCAATACCCCTTGGAGTAATAAATTTTCTTTGGTGCTGTGCATCTCCAGATCATGTTTCCCTTCTAATTACATTTACATAAATGATATTCTGTAAAATTAAATTAACATTCAAACGGTTACACTGGCAGGGAGAGACAAAAATTAGTTACCAAGTTGCATCTCTTAAAAAAAAAAAAAAAACTAGTTCTTTTCATAATATGAATCACTACCCTCTCTCAAGTGTCAGCAATCAACAAAAGCTTGCTTCCAGAACTGCACAGGGATGTTTGTCACTAGCTAATGGAGATATTTTGTTTCTTTCCTGGAGATTTAGACCATAAAGCCTCATTAGACAGTGACTGTAGTGAGTTTTCCAACTTGGCCACTAATAAATTGCTACTCTTTCTTCCAGCTTCTTGTCTTGAAATTCTGCAGTGATCATAGGGAATGCCCGGATTGAATATGCACACAGAACTTCGCTGTGGTTGGTGCTCTCCTCACCACCCGACCCTATTCTTCTTCGAGCTTGTTTTTCTACTCTAGACAATAATACAAGGCCTGTCATGGGTGACATTAGGATCTCAGTACACGCCTGTGATCTCTTACACTGCTTCAGTATGTTTCCAATAGAAAGAGGGAAGAAGAAGCAATGTTTGGAGAGTCTGACTCCAAATCATAAGAACAATCTAAAAAGGTTACCTCCACCATATTCACGTGCATGTCTTCAGAACAATGTCAGGACCACTTCCTTTATATCTTTCAGCAGAACCAATCAATCCCACATGTGAGCTTGATGAATTGATGTAAAACGTGATTTTTATTTATGTTTAAAAAATGCATGTATCTATAGGGAGAATGTTAACCAAGGCACTAGTAATAATATTTCTGAACAGTACTTTTTTTGTTTATTATTGTTTAAATTACATGTACAGGCAACATGTGTGATTTTTACAGAAACAATAAGCTACTCACAAAAAACATCTGTTTAGGTCATTGGGGCTGCAGTGAAGAGATAATTAAATGGAACATTAGCAGCTTATGCCCAAACTGCATTCTTCTCCCTGGTACACATCAGAACCTAAGATCCCTCATTACCCAGATTTAGCAACACCTCGGATGCTATCATGGCCATGGATTGTGATTTCATATATTGAAATGTCTGATAACACGTGGCTGTCATGAGTCCACTCTTAGAATAGTCTTTCAGGAACTATTCTTATAATAAGAGATGATGAAGGTAACAGAAGAAAAACAGTTCCTCTTCTCAAAGCAGCCTGTCATTCTCAGCTCCTTGCCTAGGCAAATTTGTATCTGGACTCCATCTCTCCCCTAACCTGATGTCTCCTAGTCTCTCCCCTCTTAGGCTTAGATTCAATCATGCTTCAGTGACCATGGAACATACCTGTAGTGAGCACCTACCATGTTGCAAGTATTGTGATTGTCATTGAAGATAAGATGGGAAACCAGAGGAAGCTCTCGTTCTCACAGAGATTACAGTCTGCATGGGAAGACGGATGTTAATTAAATAATCATACTGATAAATGTTTAATTACAAACTAAGAAGAAGCAGGGCCCTAGGAGACCAAGACTCTACCCTAGAGTAAAGATGAAGGTCAGGAAAGCCTTTCTACGAAAGTAAGGCTTGAATTGAAGTGAGATGTCAAAGATGGGTCTACATGAACCAGAAGTCATGGAGGGCAGTCCTAAAAGAGAGGGAGTGCCATGCCAGTTTGAGAGCACAGCACAAGCTCATGCCCTGCTCTAGGAGGGAGGGGGCCATGTTTGATATCAAGAGATGCTGCATGGCTGCATTACAGGAAGCGTGGGGGAGAAAGATAGACAACAAGATTAGTGATGCAGGTTAAGTTAGATAAAGCAAGACGTGAGGTCATGCTAAAGACTTTGATTTTATGGGAACCAGCAGTTAGCGTAATGGCTATGTGGTTGGACTCCCACATAGTCGACCCTGGTTCGTGTCCCTGACCCGGTGGCTTAAAACTCACACCGGGCGCATGTGCATGCGTGCCCAAGATCCCGAGAGGAGAATGGAGGAGAAGGGATTGTGACGTGGCCATCCTCCCTGGGGGGTGATTTCTTGCTTTCTGTCTCTATGTCTCTGTTTGTCTGGCGAGCGCATGCGCCCTATAGCAAATACCTCTCCAATAAAAACAAAAACAAATAAAATAAAATAAAAGACTTTGATTTTATTCTCAGAGCAATTGAAAATCATAGAAATGCCATGACCAGGGGAGTAACACAGTCATATTTCTATTTTTCAAAGATCACTCTGAGGGCAGTGTGGGAAATGCAGTGTGGAGGGATCGGAATGGCTGTGGGGAGACCAGTGAGGAGGCAACTACTATAGTTCAGTTTTCCTAGACCAGAAAGGTGGTCAAAGAAATGGCGGCAGCAAAAGAGTAGTATTGACAGAATCAGAAGTTACTGTGAAGGTAAATTTGCGTCCTTTGTTGGCAGTTTGGTCATAAGAGAAGAGGAATAAAACTGTGGCAAGAATACGTCCTGAGTTATTCACACTACAAGTAGATGAGGAATGGATGATTGAACAAGCAGGGGGACACAGGAGGCTAGGTTAGGGGAGTGGAGGTCTGGAGCATAGTGACACTGATATCGAAAAAGAGAGGTTGAGTAGAGATGTTAAATCTCAGAGGGGGAAACCAAGGTAGGTCAGATAAAGGAGGTACCTGAAGCCATGAGTATGCCCAATAATTCCTGGAGAGAGGCAAATCAGCACCAGAGTGAATTTGACCTACCATGGCCTCGTCCTCTTCGGCTCACACTGTAGCTACTTTCCCTGATCCCACCTGGTGGCCTAGGTTTGCAGTGTCCCTCCCACCTTCTGTGTGTGACCTTATAAGAACACTCCCTATGACTTCGACCCTATACCTTCAATAATTATTTAACTAGATGTTCACCCCACTGTTTCAGCATCCTCTTCCAGTGTCAGTTGTCATCTTCCCATTATCTTTAGTCTTGAGTAGGACTATGAAGACATTTAAACGTGGGTCTTAGTTCTTTCATCTGGGCTTCATCTGGGGGGGGGTGGGAAGGGGAGTTTTCTATCTTCTAATTGATTCATTCATTATTTCTGTTTGTATCAAGACCTGATTTATAGTATATCCAAATGCACGTACTAATGAACCATGTCTTAATAGAGTTTTACTACACCGTGCAAATACCTATAATTCATTTTATACAACTCATATAGCACTTATATTATGCCATAAATTATAGTTATTTTCACACATGTCTTATCTCTTCTGCAAGAATCCAAACTCCTTGAAGACAGGAATATTGCTTCATGTCATTTTATGCCTTGCCTGACACCCAGCATAGTGTCTCTTGAATACATACACATCAAAGGTATTCAGTGATTTGTCTTGAATGACCAGGGCTGTGGTCTCTTGGAAGAAAGCAACTGCAGTTATTCAGGTGTGAATTGATGAGAAATTAAAGGAGACTATAGAGGAATGGCATTATCTGGCATGAAATAACCGTCTGATAAATACTTGCCGACTGATTGAACTTGAGGAGGAATTCATAAGTTATAAAGGGAACAGGAAAAAGTGAATGATGGGGAACGAACCCACATTTCATCGAAAATGCCACATTCTTTTTTGCCCCACCTTTTGTATATGTGGCTTGTTTGCCAGTGAGTCTGAAGTCACACTTCATCACTTTCCTGCAAGATTCAACTTTGTGGTCACTCTCTTGCATCACCTTCTCCACAGTGACCAATTGGAGTTGGATGAATCTTGATTTATGAACTCATTGATCATAAGACTAGTGTATCATTTAACATATTTTTTTTCTGTTTCTGTACACCTCTCTACTCGCATCCATTAGATATTCTCCTCAGGGGACTGCACGGAGGAGGCACCATACAGATGAGTGGAAGGACAGAGAGAGAAACAGGACTTTTCACAGCATTATTGGGAGTGCCTATAATACCATCCTACCTCTAAAACACATATCTGATGCCTTGCCTGCCTAAAATTCCTTCTTCAAGAAAAAAATAACAGCCTTAAAAACATTCTAGGATTACTTTATTCTAGAATTAGAGCTTGGGCTAAATGCAGCCACAGCTGGTATATAAATCAGAAAACAAGAATTCTTTAAAAAAAAAAATTCCAGAGAGTGCATGTGCTCATTGAGAGAGAGAGAGAGAGAGAGAGAGAGAGAGAGAAAGCACTCCCACCAAGGACAGTCATGCCACAATCCTTCTCCTTCATTTCTCCCTCGGGGAATTTGGGTAGACACACTTGCCTTCATGTTTTTCAAGCTGTCAGGCCCAGGACTCAGATCATGCAGTTGGCCATGGGGGACTGAACTGCCTTAACTACCATGCCACCAGCTGGCTCTCTATCTTTAATATTTAAAATCTCTGTGCTTTGGACACAAAATTTAAGATATTGTTGCAGTGTCGTTTTTATAAAATAGGCATATTAATGTAGCCAACAAAGCAAAGCACATAAGAGCAAAGCCCCACCTGAGACTGTAGGCATGATGGGCATCTCCCCCATGTGGGCTGCTGCTGCTCAGTGCCTCGTGTGCCCAGTATGGTGCTAGGTGCTTTGGAAAGAAGACATTTTAGAAAATGTGATTTGTAGTCTCTAATCATTTGCTATATAGCAGGATTAAAGACTATGGGCCCAGCAGATGGCATAGCTGTTACATCACTCGACTCCCACATGGCTGTCTACAATCCGAGTCCTGTACTCGGTGGCTTCACACTCAAGCCAGGTGTGTTTGTATTCCCAAGATCCCAGGGAAGAATGGAGAAGGGATTGCAGCATGGCCATCCCACTTGGGGGGCAATTTCTCACTTTCCCTCTCACCGCCTGTCTCTCTTGCTTTCTCCAGTGGTCGCACATGCCTTAAGGCAAAAACCTCTTGGGGGGCGGGGGGGGTGGGGAAGACTAAAGCTGACTAACTGAAGACAAAATATGCACCAACGTAGGGTCACATACGATCAGACCACTTGCATCACTGTAGTCCTTGGAAGGAAGAGGGTAGGTGAGTGAAGACTTCTATTTTTATATCAGTAGAGGCCTAGAGAGAGAGAGAGAGAGAGAGAGAAAGCACTCCCACCAAGGACAGTCATGCCACAATCCTTCTCCTTCATTTCTCCCTCGGGGAATTTGGGTAGACACACTTGCCTTCATGTTTTTCAAGCTGTCAGGCCCAGGACTCAGATCATGCAGTTGGCCATGGGGGACTGAACTGCCTTAACTACCATGCCACCAGCTGGCTCTCTATCTTTAATATTTAAAATCTCTGTGCTTTGGACACAAAATTTAAGATATTGTTGCAGTGTCGTTTTTATAAAATAGGCATATTAATGTAGCCAACAAAGCAAAGCACATAAGAGCAAAGCCCCACCTGAGACTGTAGGCATGATGGGCATCTCCCCCATGTGGGCTGCTGCTGCTCAGTGCCTCGTGTGCCCAGTATGGTGCTAGGTGCTTTGGAAAGAAGACATTTTAGAAAATGTGATTTGTAGTCTCTAATCATTTGCTATATAGCAGGATTAAAGACTATGGGCCCAGCAGATGGCATAGCTGTTACATCACTCGACTCCCACATGGCTGTCTACAATCCGAGTCCTGTACTCGGTGGCTTCACACTCAAGCCAGGTGTGTTTGTATTCCCAAGATCCCAGGGAAGAATGGAGAAGGGATTGCAGCATGGCCATCCCACTTGGGGGGCAATTTCTCACTTTCCCTCTCACCGCCTGTCTCTCTTGCTTTCTCCAGTGGTCGCACATGCCTTAAGGCAAAAACCTCTTGGGGGGCGGGGGGGGTGGGGAAGACTAAAGCTGACTAACTGAAGACAAAATATGCACCAACGTAGGGTCACATACGATCAGACCACTTGCATCACTGTAGTCCTTGGAAGGAAGAGGGTAGGTGAGTGAAGACTTCTATTTTTATATCAGTAGAGGCCTCTTTACCTTTGCTCTTCACAGACACCTTTGACTTTTCCATTATCTAATTTGGGAATGCTCACATTAGGATCTACTCATGGGTACCTCCCTTCATTGTCATTCACCTCTTTTCTTTTCTTTTCTTTTCTTTTCTTTTCTTTTCTTTTCTTTTCTTTTCTTTTCTTTTCTTTTCTTTTCATTTCTTTTCTTTTCTTTTCTTCTTTTCTTTTCTTTTCTTTTTTCTTTTCTTTTCTCTTCTCTTCTCTTCTCTTCTTTTCTTTTCTTTTTTTTCTTTTCTTTTCTTTCTTTTTGGAGAGGTTTTTGCTACAGGGAGCGTGCACTCACCAGAAAGACAGAAAGAGACAGAGACAGAAAGCAAGAAATCACCCCTGCCAGGAAGATGGCCACACTGCAATCCCTTCTCTATTCTCTTCTCGGGATCTTGGGGACGCACGCACATACGCCCGGCATGAGTTAAAGCCACCGGGCCTGGGACTCAAACAGTAGTCGACTACATGGGAGTTCAGTGACATAGCCATTCCACTAACTGCTGGTCCCCCATCTGCTTTCTTCAGTGCAACTCCACTCATAATTCTCCATGCTGCTGAGACCTTTGGCTCTGTCCCTCCAGCTACCACCCGCAAAAATTCCCACACTCTGGCTTTCCCGGGAGGGGAGCTGGGTGCAGTTCTTGGAGTCTGAGCCAGCCTGCTGGCCTCTCGCTTCCTCCATCTGGGCCTGCTGTCAGTAGATGGATGCCCAAAGCACTGACTCGCCCACCTGAAGTGAACAAATGGGACCAATGCTCCAGAGTTCCTCAAGGAGAGCTATGAAGACTGGTCACCGGAACCCATCATTGCCTGTGACTTATACACCAGGGAAAGGTTAGGGAAATTTATAAGTGGGCACCATATGCCAGCTCAACATCTGTTTCTTCATAAGGGGCATGAATATAGGACAGAGCTAAGTGCATTAGCAATGAGCCTCAGGCACACACACACACACACACACAATGTAATTTCACTGCTTAGAGGAGCGAAAACTCCAAGGCACTGTTAGGAGTTTTTATACTCCCTTTTCAAGACAAGTTTTATGTAGAACATGAAATATTAATATATGTGGAGTTGCTCTCTTTAGGGGTCCTGGGAAGCCTAGAGTTCTTCCCCCAGGCTCCTCTCAGGGGTCCCTGAACTACTTCCATTAGTGCTAGAAAACAGAAAGATACAGTTTCAAAACTACTTTTTTGGTTGGTTGAGGGAAGGAGAGCGGATTCTTTTTTTCTTTCAGTGTTTTCTGTGTTAAACACTGAAGAAAGGCCTATCTCATTCGAACATAAGATATTTGGACAAGTGCTCATCATGTATCAGGACCAGTATTCTTGGTGAAGCTGATTCTGAGATTGACTTGAAGTAAGCAATGGCATAGCCTTCTTTTGTTATGCTGAATGTTTTGCAGAAGGTAACGACTACAGTTTGATGTCTTGTTTTTGAAACTTTCTGGACTTTCTGGGCAGTAAAGATTCTGCTCTTACCATGCTATGGCTTGGAGCCATGTTGTAGTATCCAAGTCTTGGCTGATAGCCACATAGGCGCATGTGAGAGCAGGAGAGAAAGTGGTGGGACTGCGGTAACAAGTGCCACCTTCAGATTGTACCAGCTTTGTTTCAAAAGTGGTGATGATGGCATTCTAGAGCATTGAGACACTGCCTCGGAACCTACTGTGCATGCCAGGATTCTCCAGAAAAATGTCTTCCTTGCTGTTTGCAGTCTAGTCACAGTGAGCCACCACCACCAGCAGGGTCACCATTAGGTAAGGAAGTGACAATGACACTTTAAAAGCATTTAAAATTATTTTAAAACTCCTTGGTATTTTGGAGAGGACACTTAAAACGTATTTAAGTGCCTTCCCAAACACAGCTTTAACCTATTGTATAATCATAGCAGAATAAAGAGTAAATTCTATTTAATTGTAATTACATATGAGATTGAGAAAGGAAAATATTCCCCAGTTAATGTCTGATGGGAAAGTCAAAAAAGATACTGTCACCAGCAGTATAGTAGAGTGAACAGATCATGGACTATTGAGTTGGAGAGAACTCTCCAAGGTCAAATTCCTTTAAACTCTACAACTTATGCATGGTCAACTTTAACAGACATTTAACCTCTCTGGACCTCAATATCCTTAACAGTGAAGGAGAATTACCATTCCCTTTTTAGGTCATTAAGAGCCCCAGTGAATAGGAAGCCCTTTCTTACTCCTTCTTATCCTACCCAAAGCCATATGTGTTACATATAGGGCCAAAGTTATGAAGGGCAGCCTGATGCTATGAAAGAGTACTGGTTTCAAAGTCTAGAAATGGGCAAGCCACTCCATCACCATGAGTTTCAATTTTCTCAACTACAAGAAGAACAGCCTGGAGTAATATTTCAAGTCTCAATCAACACTCAGATAGTTTAGGCTTCTTTGTAGTGGTTTTAGGAAGAACAAAAATTAAAATTATGTAATCCAAGACCTTCCAAAATAGAAATTATTGGCAATGCCAAATCTTGAAAGTGCTCAACTGCTACTGACAGCTCTAACACAAACTTTCTAGTTTTCTGAAATGGGATGATGGCAACTTATACTGAATTAATACTACAGTCAGTACTGGGACAAATTTATATTTATTTATTTATTTGTTTATTGAGTCATGAAAACCTATAGTGCCTTGACTTTCTTTCTGATGACAGGTACTTATGTCTCTATTTGCTTCTCAATCTCATCTCCCGAGGACCAAGAAGAGGTTAATATCCTCCTGTAAATAATCTTACTCTTCTTAAATTCAAATTAAGAACTAACTGAATAATTGACAAAAGGATCCTCAACCCTTGCTTGCTTCACTTCATATACGTATGTGAAATCTTAAGGTTAATATAGAAACTAAGAATACAAATTTTGGAGCTGACTGCTGAGTAGGAAATTTCTTTGGACACAATACAATCTTGAACACTTAGTTTAGAGGTTACTGTCTTTCTGCCAGAGGAAATTCTTCTACTTTTTTTTCTCCCTTTTGTCCAAAAGAGCAGGGATGGTGGTATATCCATGCCTGTCTGAATGTCCCTGATGGTAATATTTTTCCCTGTGCTTGCTCCAGCACCAGCATGTCTTCTTCTGGTGAAGTAGAAGAGAGAAGGCAATGAGTCTTACTATAGTCTGATGGTATTTGCTTGCTCTGGTCACCGAGGGCAATATCACAGGGCTGGAGTATCACTTTTAATGCCCTATCGTGTTCTGTGCAGACTTTCCCTCAGCTTGCTTGATCACGCTTGTGATCATGTCCTTCTCAACATCTGCCACTACTATAAGGAAGACTAAAATATCTGTATATATATACATTTTTTTTCCTTTGGAGAGGTTTTTGCCTTAGGGTATGTGCACTTGCCAGAAAGACAGATACAGAGAGAGAAAGTGAGAAATCACCCCCCGGGGGGATGGCCATGCCGCAGTCCCTTCTCCCCCATTCTCCTCTCGGGATCTTGAGCACGCATGCACACGCACCCAGCATGAGTTTAAGCCACCAGGTCTGGGATTCAAACTGCAATTGACTAGCCATTTCACTAAGTGTTGGTCCCAATAGCTGTATATTGATTAAGACTTTAAATATTATTCCAGACTGTTCTTCTTGTAGTTGATAATTGAAACTCATTCTGATAGAGGCTGCAAGTCACAGCCAGGCTGAATGCTTAACTTTAAGCCCCCAACTACTAGCAGAGTCACTGGCATACAAGGGCCCTCAGAAATACTTGCTGAGTAAAAGAAGAATAATATTATTCACATATTTGTCAGAACCTTGTCAGGAAGGAATAAAAGTAACTAGAATATTTTAGGCACTGAAAACAGTCTCACAACCTACTTTTACATAGTTTTGACTTGATAATGATTTAGAAACTTTTCTTTCATTTTCTGAAAGTGAAATGATGAGATAAATTCTAAATATACAGGGTCTCTCACATGGGTGATGTTAGTTAAATTACCTAAACTCTCTGTGCCTAAGTTTCTTCATCTCTGAAAGGGAGATAATAATATGACCCAATTTATAGGGTAGTTGGAATAATTAAACCCAACATTAATGGTAAAGTGATTGGCACTGAAAAATATGAGTAATTATGGATAATTTTTAAGAGAATCAATTACATGAGTTCTACCACTAGAAGTGTCCATTAACTGCCTGAGAATTTGGTCCTTCCATAAAAAGGATGTTGGATCAGTTGAATTCTAGATGTTTCTGGGTTTTATAGGTCAATAGAAGGCTGGCTGATGATGTGGTGGTTAAGGCAGTTAGATCCCTGATGACCAACTTTGTTCAAGTCCCAGACCTGGTAACTTAAAAACTATAGTGGGGTAGTGTGCATATGTGCCCACTACTGCACCATTCTGAGAGAAGAATGGAAGGGAAGGAACTGTGGCATGGCCAGCCCCCCTTGTGGGGATGTGTGTGATTTCTCACTTTTCCTCTTTCTGTCTCTTTCCAGTGAGTGTACACAACCCATAGCAAAAACTGAAAAAAAAAAAAAAAAAGTTAATAGAGTTCTGCTAAACCATTTGGGTCAATGGGCCCCAGAGAATTTTGACTTTTGAACTGACATATAACATTGTGCTAATTTCCTCCCTTTACAGTTTTGTGCTTCCTCTAGTCATTCCTGTTGTACATGAATTCCACCACACAGAAAGATTAAAAACTAGATTGACATGTACCAGAAGGAATTCTGAATTAAAAGTAAGAGTTTTGGCTTTCTGCTTTTCTGTTTCTTGTAAAACCTTAGTGGTTTAAAAATGCATCTAATGGAGAGAAAGAAAGAAAATGGCAATTTCCCATCCCTTCATGAAATAGTCAAGATTTCACAATATCATTTTATTATTTCCTTTGAGATGAGTTTCTAGAATTCCAAGCATCCTTATAGTATAAATACTAGCTTTAAAACATTCTAAAACAAAATATGTTTCAACAATTTGATGCTTTTTATTTTGCACATGTTCTTTTCCATTGATTTTGAAATTTAAAAAAATAACAGTTTTTGAGGCTGTGTCCTTGGTTTCTGGAGATATATAACATATTCAATTTAGAACACCTAATATACTGATTCAACTATTATGACTTGTTACTTACATATTCCATAATTTAATTACACCATTATTATTTGGTATATGCTTTATAAGAGACTTAATGTGTTATGTACAATAGTGCTTCTGATACTGAATGTTCAAATAGTGGATTGATTAGGAGTCAAACCAAAAGGTTTAGAGATGGCTTCTTTTATTTTTTAGACAGATTTTTTGCTATAGGGTGGGTGCGCTCATGGGAGAGACAGAAAGTGAGAAATCACCACTCGGTGGGGATGGCCATGGCTCAGTCTCTTCTTCTCCATTCTCTTCTTGGGATTTTGTGTATGCACACACATCCACTCGGCGTGAGTTTCAAGCCGCCAGGTCCAGGACTTGAACCATGGCCAACTACCTGGGAGTCCAGCAATGTAACCATTATGCCATATGCTGGTCCTTAGAGACCACATTATATATATATATATATAATTGGTCCTGTTGGGCTGCAATTTTGGTCAAATACTGTGACATCTGTGAATTCATGAATTGAGTATTTAATGAGCATCTACTCTGTGCTATGTACCATGATAAGCACTAACCATTTATATAAATTTTGCTTATAAATTGGGCTTTCCAAGCTGGAAGTGGTAAGTTTTTGTAGTTAATAAGTTTACGTAGTTGGGAAAGACCAAACATATGCCAAACACAGAGCTTATCTATGTAACACTAACCTCTCTTTCCTTAAGTGGATTTAATCTTTTTACCTCTACCATTCATATACGCATGTTTGGCACATTGATTAAGTGTGAGACAATCAAATACAAAGTGTACATCTGAAAACAAATGATGAGAGACCCTCTTACAGTATTATAGTGGAGAATTTCATGCCTGGTAGATTTAGCACTTTGTGTCTGGCTGAGAATTGGGAGAAGGAACATTAGAAAAAGATCAGTAAGAGGCTGGCTGGAAACAGAATAATGGACTAAGTCTTAGGTGGAGTCTCAAGCAGGGCCAGGTTCCAGATATTTAGCTACTCTCCAAAGATAGTGTAATTTGTCATCATTAAGGCTTAGGGGTCATAAGAAAAGGAGTGTAGGTTTAAGGTATCTTGGAGTCCAAGTTATTTACAGAGTGCTTATACGCATGTGACATTACCCAAGGCGGCAGCTGGGCTATTAAACTTAGAGTACATATTCTTAATCTTCAGAAAGCTTGTATCCCATTGGAAATATGGTCTCCAAAGTCTGCTGGTAATGTTTACAATACAGTCTTGAATTTGGGATTTAAACCACCTTAAATATTCAGAACGAGGTTGATGGAATTTATAGGGAAGGTTAGAAAGAGAAAAATAGGTAGACTAGTGAGAAATAGCTTACCTAATTCAGAGATCAAGAATGCAAGTCATCTCAGATATACTGATTAAGGCACCAGTATGATTTAGAGAAGTATCAAATAAAAGATTCTCCAACTGTCTTACCATTTCACTTGGTAACAGGAGGCAACTGAGTCTAGTTTATGCCAGTGTTCAGAGTAAGGTGTAAGGTCCGGTAAGACACCTTTGTTTGGGGGCTCTTAGTAATGACACTTAAAGGGCAAGTCACTAAAAGGCAAGAGAAAAGGGAAAGGAGCTTAGTAAAAAGCCATTTTCTGTCTCACCCCACCCCCTTTAGGTCCAGTCCAGCTAGACCCAGGCATCCCATTCTGTGACTTTTGATGTCTCATCCATTATGTACTATGAATCTGTGACCCTGGAACTTGTTGTTTTGCAAGGCTGTCTGTTCAGAAACTTTCTGTTGATCTTCCAGGAATTACAAAGGATTAAAATTGCCCAGTAAAAAGTGAAATAACAACTCCAAGACCCATGGAATTTTGCTTAATGGAATAAGACTAGGGCATAGCTTGGCGAGGAACAATAATTTTCTATAGCGTTGAATCTGACTTAAACAGAAGCACACACTTATACAAAATAAGATGAGAGAGGGTAAGTACTGTACTTGATTCCTTAGTATTGGAATTGAAGGGCATGAAGTAGGAAAGCAAGCCCAGCAATCCAGCCGAGGCATCACCCACCACCCACCTCCCCATACAGTGTCCCTGAAGGGTCAAAATGGAATCCAGGAATCCATCAGACCTGGACAGAGGGAGATGCCAAGGGAAACATCCTGGCATCAACCAGAATGATTCTACATATTTAGTCGAGTCTTCTCCCAATTTTTATTTTGCGAGTGTCTCTATTCTCTAGGGAAGAGTAATAGCTATTTTTCATCTTTCCTGATCTTCAAGGATATAGAAACATAATTGTATGTTGAGTCCATGTTATTTCTAAGAAGAAGGCAATGCCAGCCTGTATGTAGTTGGGTGCACAGGCCACATCAGTTTATTCAGTACACCTAGTCAACCAAAATTTACTAAGCACCTTCTATGCACTGGGCATTGTTATCAATGGTTGGGATACATCAGTAAACAAAATGATAACAAAAGAAAGGAAAGCAGAGAGAGAGAAATTTTAAGAAAGCCAAAATCGAAAATCCTTAACATTTTGTAGCTTACATCTAGTGGGGTGTCAATAAAGGTGATGAATATGCATGGCAGTTTGGGAAGCAGAGTAAGCAGAAGTCATAGGAGAGAGTCAGCAAAATGACAGTCCATCCACTCCACATGGCTCATTTCCATGATGATGTGGGTTCTATTTAGCACCATCGGTGGTAGGAAGGAGAGTACGTGTAAACAAAGAAATGGAGTCAGACAAGTCTGGATTAAAATCCTGGTTTCATCATTTATGAGCTGTGTATTCTTGGTTAAAGGATTAAACTCTTTGCTTTAAATTCTTTATCTGTAAAATGAGGAGATTACCCATCTCACCTGTCTATAGTACAGATTAAATAAGAAATCAAATACAGGGACTTTTCACAAAGTTCATGGGAAAATGAGTATTATGAAAACCTATGCATGGATTTCAAAATTTTTTTGCACCATAATACACTCATGTAATTAATTCTATTTCACCCAGAACCTTTTGAAATCTCCTGGTATGAAGAGCTCTATGAGGGGCTTGCTTACAGGAAAAATTCTCTAATTTGTGCTTTTCTTCTTTTAGACCAAACCTAGTTGTCTATAACAATTATGTAACTTTCTCTTGTTCTCTTTTGGGACAGCATAGTTCATGTTATTACCTTTTCACATTTGAGTTAAACTGAGGCATGGAGCAGTTGAAAGAATTCTTGGATAATAAATCATTCTGATCACTGCAACACTTCTGATTAGCCTGCATTCTTCTTCCCATTTTTGCCATCCACTTGAGGTTTCTGCCATTAGAAGTCTTTTTACCCTTTTCTATTTTGAGTGAAAAGTTTCTAAAGAAAGAATGGTGGAAATGAAAGAACCACAAGGGAATTATGTACATAATGTGGGTGTGGAAGGAGACAGTAGGTGTTTAATGTCCTTAAATATGTCCCTCATGTCTAGGGGAAGGACAGTAGGGAGCTCTGGGACAGTAAGACCTCTCTAGGTTCAAGCTCAAGGCAAGTGAACTTGAGAATTTCATAGACCTGATTGGATCATTAAATAAAGTCTACAGAATACTCAGCATTTTGCCGGGTACATAGTAGGTTTGGATTTTTCTTCCTTTACTCCTGGAAATACCACAAAATGAAACTCAGCTTTCGCTAGATTATATGGATAAGTGAGGCAACTTTGCGTATGTATTATTCTGTATCAGAATGGGAAATTCATAGTGACTGCCTATGAAAATGAAGAATTTGTGAAATAAAATAGCTATGTTCTTCAGTAACACTGGTATCCTTGTGGCTGGAAAAAAATATTTTGCTTAAGTGACTGGAAGTCTGTCGTTCGGCTAGAGACATCCTATTTATGTTGACTTTCTCTAAAGCTCATGATTAATGTGGGCTTTTAAAAATTGTTTTTCTTTGTGTTATGTAAATAGGGTTTCTCTCCAGTATGGCTGAATGCTGGTTTTAATTAAATTTAGGAAGGAAGAGGAGGGGGGGTTGGGTAGCCTGACAAAGTTGAAGAGCATCAGTGAAAATCACATTTATGTTTCGTGTATGGCATTTGAAAATAGAATAAATAATATAAACGAAAGGCGTTTTCCAAATGGGAGAATAATGAATACACTTAAACTCTTTTATATTGCTCCCATTTTGGCTGAAGATGGGATTTTTGCTTTAGAAAAAAAAAAGAGCTTTTTTAAAAAATCATTACATATGAGTATTTTGTACACATCACCCCATGAACCACTTCTCTTCTTGTTTTATTTTCTTTCAGCGAAAAAGTCATTATTTTACAAAAGCAAATTCACTATTTGATTAATCATATGTTTATTCATGCTACTTTAGCTATAATATAATTGAAACTTGGGCCAAGGCTAATCTGTACTGGGCTAAAGTTAATTATGATGTGGTGATGAAACTGTATTACTTTGGCTAAAATTTACATTTACTCAGCATATTCTTTTCTTATAAGAAGTACAAATTAGTGGTATAAACAAAATTACTTAGAAAAAAAATTGTCTTCAAGCCCTGAATACTTACCTTCATTTATAATAGTTATGCTAATTATAAACTAGTCTTATCTACTCCTCAAAGCAAGTCCTTAAGAGCCTAGTTGGTAATAGCATGAATGGATAAACTCCGAGGAAAACTTAAATTACTGTCGGTATCTGAGAGTCATAAAACTATATTTCTTCAAAATATTTTCTTATCTGGGTTTTTTAATGGTTTCAGGCTGACCTCTCCTTCCACTAGTTCAACTAAGTAAAATCAGCCTGCATTCCTAAATCATTCCTTAATGTTCTAACTTCCAACTTTCAATCAATGGTGTCTCTTTGGCGGTTTATGTTCTTGCAGGCTGCTTCTCACCTGAGGCAGTAAACAAGCTCACTCAAAAGGCTGATTAACTCCATCTTTGAAATATGATTAAGGTTTAAAACATGTATTAAAAAAAAACGGAAAGGAAAAGTCTAAATTTAAGGCAGTCATGCTTCTTGTGGGGAGGTCAGAGTGAGTAGATTACGGAGTTAAGAGATGAAGAAGAGAGGAAGAAGATTTATGTGCTCTGTGGTATTTGAAACCAATGTACAATTGGCCCCAAGAGACCAGAGATTTACATATTGTGTAGTTTGAGAACATGAATGTGAAATTACAGAATAAGCCTCAAAAGTGCTTCTTAGAAACTTTCCTGGTCAATAGACCCTCTGATTAATTACAAAAAGAAAAGAAGAAGAAAAGGAAAAATATTTAATATTGTAAAATAGTTCAATTTGCTTGAAAGAAATAACCATTTGTCTGGCAGTGTTGAGTGGTGGTTCAAGGCACAAATTCAGGTATTTACGGAATTCAGACAAGTTCCTCAACTTCTCTATGCCTCACCATTATAAAAAGGATAATAATAGGAAGGAATTAAATCCTACACACTCAGTGTACAGAAATTCCCTCTTTGCATTTGGTAAGAGGAGGGAGAGAGAAAAGTAATTTGAATTGAGAGATGTTTCCATCTCCCATTGAACTCAATAAACATTTTCTCATATGAATACAAAATAAAAGAGATGAATCTGTTTCTCTCTCCTTTGTCATAACTCTTGAGGTCCTCATGTAAGATGATTTATCTGTCACTAATAAGGCACATCGCTTCCTCAGGTATTTTTGGTGAAAATGTAAATAGTTTGTGTGTTTTTTGCCTTATATATTGACTTTAAAACTTCACTCCAGGTAAGATGTAATTCCACTTTTATGGCTGATCTTAAAAAAAAAAATAGCTGGATCATAGAGACAGAAATTAGAAGAAGAGTTATCAAGGGTTGGAAGGCAGGAGAAAAGGAGAGTTACTGTTTAGTGGGTACATAGCTTCTGTTTGGGATGGTAAAAAAAAGTTCTGGAAATAGTAGAGATGGTTGCATTCATTGTAAATGTACATAATGTCATAACCTTGTATATATAAAGATGTTTAAAGTGTTACATAAGTTATGTGCATTTTTCCATCATCACCACAAAAAGGTAATTGAGAAGATTCTGGGAGTAAGCTATATATGCCGAGCATTGAGCACAGTCATGAACAACCAATGCAAATGATTATTTAATTACTATTTACATATTAGACCTATCTATCTGCTTTTATACCTTTTGACTCTTTCTAATTTATATATAGGCAAGGATAGATGTGATGGTTCTCCTGGCCTCTGGATACAATTTGGGACATAAACCATAGAACTCCACTCTGGATCCCATTAAGTCCTTGCTCCTCCTCTCTCCTGTGGGCAGAAGGAGCAGCCTCTTCTGTGTCCCTACATCTATCCAGTCCAGGCATGCTTTAGGGGGCAATTGCTTTCATTCATGTCTCCACGAGCACCATCTCGACTTGTCTGTGTTTCTTTAGTATCGTCCTTTATTCTCAAAATCATTTCGTGTTCTTCCTCCTATTTCCTCTACTTCTTTGCCCAGGGTAATCTCCTATATGATGAGCCCTAGTCCTCAATCCTTGAGAACACTTATTGGTGACCCAACTGGATGAACAAACCTTGGGACCTTTATGGCAATGTTCTTTCAAGGGAATCAGACATAGACTCCAGAACAGAGACCCAGGGTCCTTTGTGGCTCCCTATTAGAACCTTTCAAGACTAATATTCTAATTGAGACACAGCTCCTATGAGTGGCTGGGAGAAGTGAAAGAACCGAAATTTAGGGCCTGTGTGGGCTGTCATCTATTATAGATAAGAAAGAAGGCTGGGAGTCAGATAAAACAAGAAGGAAGCCAAAGTTGGAAACAGACAGTGGAACAAGTATGGCAGAAGGTATTGGGAATGCAGAGAAAATAAGAACATAAGCATAAGCAGTTTTAATCTAGGATTCAGATGTTAATAACTTCTCTGGACATAGTCAGCTGTTTAAAGTTCTAGACCATTTCTCTCCTCTCACAATCTTCTTCCCACTTCAAATGGCTGCAGTGAAACTGGAAGAGCACTCAGAATGACGGTGTGACAGGATCTCAGAGATAATGTAACATATCTGTCTTATTTTTGGATGAGGCATGGCCCCAAAAAAAGGAATATGTGATTTTCTGACTTACTCATCTTTGTGGTCATGAGGATTGGACTTGAATTCAAATCTCACTATTCTCAATAATTCCTTTGTACTTTGTGACCTCCCCTGGATGAGGACCATGACAGCAGAGTTGTGTAGAACCATACTGGATATAGCACCATATGCATTGCAGCAGGTAATAAATGCTTCTTGATGGTGGTGGCAATGAAGATGATGATGATTATGGCCATAGAGAAAACTCCATTTAGATGAAATTAAATGATATTGCATGGATGAGAGAGGAAAATGCCATATTGTAAAATAGTTCAATTTGCTTGAAAGAAATAACCATTTGTCTGGCAGTGTTGAGTGGTGGTTCAAGGCACAAATTCAGGTATTTACGGAATTCAGACAAGTTCCTCAACTTCTCTATGCCTCACCATTATAAAAAGGATAATAATAGGAAGGAATTAAATCCTACACACTCAGTGTACAGAAATTCCCTCTTTGCATTTGGTAAGAGGAGGGAGAGAGAAAAGTAATTTGAATTGAGAGATGTTTCCATCTCCCATTGAACTCAATAAACATTTTCTCATATGAATACAAAATAAAAGAGATGAATCTGTTTCTCTCTCCTTTGTCATAACTCTTG